GGGGGAGGGGGAGGTTGATTCATCGGAGGAGGAGGAGGGGGAGGAGGGCCTGGCGGTGCGGGAAGTCCCGGCATACCCGCGTAAGGTGGCAGAGGAGGATGCCCAGGAGGAGGGGGCGGCAGTTGTTGCAGGTACTGAAGGTGAGGGGGAAATCCTGAAGGTGGAGGCGGCGGATATGGCGGCATCATGTACGGCTGCAGACTGCCGTACATCGGTGTTCCTGGAGGCGGCGGGGGGGGAGGAGGGGGCATATGCGCCCCTGGCGGAAGCGGCTCCATGTGCCCTCCGTGCGGGTTATGATAGCTCAGCTGAGACATGATGATCTATTAATCAAACAAGAGATTAAACCAACAAGCGATCCAACTACTACCAATCGAGCAGCCAATCAATCAACTCAGCGGCGAGGGGGCGAGTATGCCGGCAGGCGCACAAGCAACCTCCTCCCTCTCTCTTCTTGTCAGCCGGGTGCAATCCACGACCCCCAACCGTTGGATAGAAGGCCGCACACGTGGCATTGGTACAGAATGACTTGGAAGGTGGACCATTACATCGACCGATCAACCCCCAGCGACAATCCAACTCCAGCAGAACGGCTTTTGCCTGCAACCAAAGCCAATCCACAACTCAGAGAAAAAAAGGCGCAAGCACATACACTGCAGAGGGACGAGCAACAAGGTTGACCAAACCCACATGCACCCCCGCACCCCCCCCCACACCACCAAACAAAAAAAGACACATGAACACACAGACACATACACACACAAATAAGCGGATGGATGCATGGGCACTTCTCAATCAGATAACACAAATGCCGGAACCCTTTTTTTGGTGGGGGGGCGGGGGGATGCCACCGTACCTATATTTTTTTGTTTTTTTGTTTTTTGTTTTTTGTTTTTTTTTGTTTAATGAACTACCCGTGTGGGTGCTCGGAGTATATCATGGTTTGTACTAATGTATCAACACTGATCTATCAAGAGAGGGGAAAAAAAAGGAAACACGAAAAGAAAGAGATCCCTTCCACACATTATCGCAACAGTCAGGCAGGCCATTTACCACCATGCTACCCTCCACAGCTGTGCTTTACGCCAGCTAGAGGCGACCTTCGCCCACCTCCGTTACTCCTTGGGCAATTGTATTAATTCGAACTGGTCAGGTACGTTGTATGGATCAAAGATGGGCGGCATGGCAGACACACAGGTACATTACGAGCAGGCAAGGCTATTGTTGTCCCGCTGCAACCTAACTTAAGGAGCCTCCTTCAGACTCATTTGAGCAAACACATCTGTTCATCGGGCTTATGCAACTTCGCTTGCTCCGTAGAAGTAGGTTTTCATTGGTTGGCAATCATCCTTCCTTGCTCGTCCGTTGATGGGCTGCAATAATGTGCGACGTTGGCGCTTTTCCCTTCCTTTCCGATCCATTTGCTGCAGGCTGACTGGCGAGTCGCGGTGAACTGATGGTGGTGTTGCATGAGTTCTTATGTGCTTAGTAATTTTCCAATTGTGGCTGACCGTCATCTGTGCATGCATGGAGGAGGTCAGAGGCTGATAAAGGTCCGAGGCTGATAAAAGTACAGACTCCTGCTTGAAATTTGTACAATAATGCTAGAATGAAGCTGCGAAAATCACACTTCTCCCGTGCATGCTGCACAAATGTTGTAGTGATGACAACCGCCCACTAGTCTTACTAAATGTGCTCTCTCTCTCTCTCTCTCTCTCTCTCTCTCTCTCTCTCTCTCTCTCTCTCTCTCACACACACACACACACACACACACACACACACACAAACTTCTGCCCTTCACCTTTGTTTATATAAATTGAAGAAAATGTATATTTGTGCAAGTGAGCCGCATCAGTGGCAGACAGGTGTGTGGCCACGTCCCGCTCAACCACACAAACGTGGGGAACCTTGCACCTTCTATTATATTGCTCATCTATACTTGTTTTGTCATGGATGGTTTGTGATGGTATGAGGGGGCAATGAGAGAGAGAGAGAGAGTTCAGGGATGTTGACTAACACGCACACACACACACACACACACACACACACACACACACACACACACACACACATCGCTTGTTTGTTCTTTGTGCTGAAAGTTCAATGTCCCACAGCAAGGGCTCATTCCTCGCCCACCATCGGGGTTACCCCCGTACTGATATGTTGCATTATCTCTACTAAGTTCTCAAAGTCTGTGAGGGCGAGATCCCACTAGCTGAGAAGATCAAATCAAGCACGTTAATCTGGATGGTTTTTTGTGAGGAATGAGCCCTCGCTGTGGGCTTTAGGCCATGGCCTCCCACTGCCCAAGGGGCCCCCACACTGCCTCGTGCTTGCCCTAAGCAAAGGCAGGTCTGCATTCGCAATACGAGGCCTGTTTTTGCCATTTCTGCATTATGGGGCGCCAGACTGGTTACCACGCGCCAGTTGGGAATAGGGCCCATCCTGTGTGAGCACAATATGCAGAGCCTCTGGACTCAATCGAGCAGCGATGTGGTCAGAGGCTCTCGGCCAATGAGGATGCAGGGAGCAACGTGGCTGGGCCTCCGTAGGCCAATGAGAATACAGCGTGCGACAGCAGCCACGTCGCATGGTTGAGCAGCCTCAATGCTGCGGACCCAGGCAACTGTCTGCATGGGCCTGGGCGCAGACACTTTGGCCCAACATGAAGCTACTGGGCACGCGCCCACGAGGCCCAGGCCAGGCAGAGGATGGGCTCACTTTCCGTAAAAGAAAGTGTGTGTGGCCAGAGGCACACGCGGGCGCTGCGAGGTGTGAGGGGCACTGTGGTGGCAGCGGGCACATGGCGGTCATAGCCGGGCTGCTGGGACGCGGGCTGGTGGGCGATGGTGGTCTTCTGGTTGGAGGCGCACATAGAGGAGAGGAGGAGGTGAGGCAGAGAGAGGACAGAGATACGTACCTGGTGTATGATCGCAGTCTGCATTGTCGACGTCGCCACGTGCATCGGTCTTCAGCTGCGAAGTGACTCCTGCTGCATGAACGTAGTGCAGGCTAGTTAGGCTGAGTAGGATAGGCTGGGCGCTGAGTGCCAACCTGGAAGAGCAACATTGGATACTATGCTGATGTGGCGAGAGAGTGCCGACATTGAAATTTGAGTTCTCTGTATTGCTCTTATTTGGATGCTATCTCGGTGCACGGTGCTTTCTGCTTGGTACACAACTATCTGGTCTACAGGGTGATTTTGCAATTTGGTTTTCTATCGCTCTCGCTCATTTTCCTTGCATTTTAAGCAGAGATGCAGAAAAGCAGATCCATCACAGTATTCTGCACCTTTCCACAAATACATCAAGATTCAGGCCTTTAATCCGATCCTCTTTGCTAGCGGGGCTCTCCCCTAAGGCTCCTCCTGCTTTTTGTAGCATTCTTGGAGTTGCAACGCGAAACAATCTTTCTGCTTCCCCATGTGCGCGCCCTTGTCTGAAAGTCTGTTTGCCATTCATGAACGGCGCTCTTACAAGTAGAGAGAGAACGACACCTCGACCTTAAACCACCAGACTGTGTCCCGGCCATTTTGTGGAAACGCGTTGTGCATGCTGGCGCATTGGGCAGGATGCGCCGGGGTGCCGTTTCACCCAAAATCCATCCCCTGGCCAGGCAAAACGGGCCTCGAATGCAGCCCGTTTTGCCTGGACAGATTTTTGGGCGAGACAACAACCCATTGCATCCCACCCAGGCACCAGCATGCATGGTGCATTTCCACAAAATGGCTGGGAAACGGACTGGTGTTTTTTTTAAATGTAATGCACTGTCCCTTCATGGCACTCCTTCGCACGTTGTTGATTTCACCCAAACGTACATCGATGTTCCCCACGACTGCATTCTGAATAATGTGGCAAAAGTTCCTGATGAAGCTCATGCTAGACGTACTCACTAGAGTTCGAGCTGCTGAGCCCTTAAATCACCAGTACACCACACATCGACACGCGGGTGTCAGCTCGAAACCCGCATCCCACGCCACACGGCCCCTCCGAGTTTTGCTTGTGGCGACAAAAACTTTCTGCAAGGCTGGGGCCGTGTACTTGCGGTTTACCAGGTTGATTCAGGGGCCTCACGGTGGCAAATGGATAGCTAATTCAGGCCTGCACACCCCCCCTTTGTTTCTCAAATTCCTCAACACCTTCGCTGAACACCTACCTGTACATCTGGCTTAAAAAATAAAAACTACCTGTACACTGTTGAGGGCATGCTTTGGAAACAGACTGACAACATTCTAGTGGAAACCATACTTGCAACCGCACGAGCCGCACATTCGTGCGGAGTTCCGTGTGGGGGGTGCCTGTGCGGAATCGTGCAGGTTTTTAATTTTAATTTTTATTATTTTATTTTTTTTGGGAGGGGGAACAGGGGCGTATGACAGGAAAATGGGGATATGGCAAGGAGAGAGGGATATGGAGAGGAGGAGGAGGATGTGCACGAGGAGGACGACGAGGATAGCGAGGACGACAAGGAGGAGGAGTCGAGATGGGGGAGGAGAAGAGATGGACGGAGGGAAAAGAGGAAGGGCAGGAGGAGGAGGATGAGTGGGAGGAGGAGGAGACATGGACGGCGAGGAAGGGGAGGACACGAGGAAAGGGAGGACACGAGGAAAGGGAGGACACGAGGAAGGGAAGGAGACGAGGAGGCATGGAAGATGACGAGGAGAAGACAAGGAGGAGGAGGAAGGGCAGGAGGAGGGGGACGAACAGGAGGAGGAGGAGGAGGAGGAGGAGAAGACGAAAAGGAGAAGGGAGGAGGAGACATGGAGGATGAGGAAGGAGAGGAGAAGCAAGGTGAGGCAGTACTCCTGTAAATTTTTTTTTCATCTCGCTTATAATTTTGGTAGGGGGCCTCAAATGCACCATTTCGACCACGACCTTTTTTTTTTTTTCTGAGGGGGGTGACGGGTCGTTCTCCGCACAGTCGTGCGCCGCACGGGATCGGTTGGGTGCGTGCGCCGCACGTAGGGAACCGCCCGCACGACGTGCGCTTGGATGTGTGGTGGAAACTAGTACCGCCTCGCCACTGGGATGGAAGTCAGCTTTGCTGATGATCTTCATGAGGATGATCTTCAGAGTGTTCAACAATATAAAACATATTATACGTTCAATTATCATGCCTCATTGACAATCTTCCTTTTCTTCAGGGGCCAAATACCACCTCGACCAGAGCACTACGGCGTTGACTGAAAAGAAACCACAACCTCCTCGAATAGGATCCCTCAGATGTTTCAAAAAAAAAAAAAAAAAAAGGAAACAACAACTTCAGATGGCTACCTAGTGTACCTTTTTAGGTACACACCTGTGGGTCCTCTCCGAAGGCTCACTTCAAGTGGCTACCTGGGATGCCGCTGACATTCATTATCCTAGTGCGATCTCCAACATTCCTTCCCCTTAACAGTTTTAACTGGCTCACATGTTCACAGGGAAACTGACCAGATTCGAACAAATGTGTAATAATTAGCAGGACTTTCGAACGGCAATAATAACACTTACTCACCCCATGCTTTCTTGTTGCCATCCGCCATCAGCCCTGACTCTCCCATGTGCTCTATCGCCACCGCCAACGGTAGTATCCCATGCATGTGACACCTATCTCTCAGCGGTCCCGGTGTATACTGGGATTGTCACCATTCACCTTTTCTGTTGCCCCCACGACACCCTTGTTTTGCCCCTACTTGCTCATCTGCTAGAGATAGACCTGCGGTTTATACTTCTCCAGTTTCCACTGCTACCGGGTAACCCTCCCCCCTATTTTTGCTCCCACGATGAATGTTCTGGTTTCATTTCTTAACGTTTGTGATTGCAGAAAGACTTTTCCTCACCACTCTCTACTTTTGCCACGTGAGGAGTTGTTTGTCAGTCCTTGGCCTGCCAGTGCTGGAAGTTGGCCGCAAACTTGTTGTGAAGTGCGGAGGTGGGAAATAGTTGGCTGGTCAGGCTTTTTCTACACTACCGTCTTCACCCAAAGATAATGCCCGGTCACTATATAGCTGTATTTGGGGCACTTTCTCAGTCCAGATGCAACGATAATGACCGCTCTATTCAGGTGAAGATGGTAGTCAACGCAAAGAGCAGGAGACAGACGGAAAAAAGGTGCAGTTAATCCTATCCTCATGGAATCTGGCATTTGTGCTCCTTGTAGGAAGGCTATCGAAACATAGCTCGACTAGCATTACATTCCTGCCCCGTTCCAGCGTGGTGAGAGCCCTTTGTCGCACGCCATTTTTGAACTTTGCATGTTTGTGTGATTGTTTGTTTCCCTCATCCAGCGGGATTGCACTCTCTCTAGTTGCCTACTTTTTTTGTGGCCCTTTTGATATGCAACTTCACGCTCTGTGCAGCGTCCCATACCTGTGGGAGTGTCGATCAGAGTAGGTGGGGTGTATCCGAGGATTTCGGGCGGGGGATTGAGCCGCCAGGGCAAAACTGGGGTTCTCGCCTCAAAACCGAGGGTTCTTCGAAAAACACTGGCCGACAGGTACAATTTCGAAATTGCAGAATTCAAAAGAAAGAAAAGTGCAGGACAACCTCAAAACCATGCTCATGGACTTTGGGACAGATGCGCAAAACTCAATCTTATCCTTGAAAGAAATATGGAAACCCCGCAAAAAAATGTAACTAACGCCTAATCTATGTCAGGTTCACGCCGCCGTTTTCATGGGGACCAAGGAGAACTAACACTCTTTCTCCGTCTGAGTTGGACAAATGTTGTCCGTCGGGTTGGCCCCCAAGACCCGAAAGTTTGCGGGAAGCGCACCCGCGCGGAGGGAGAGGTCTGGGAACCGGATGGACCATTCGTACCACAGCACCAACCTCCGCCAGGAACACGAGTTCCCGAGCCAACACCAACTGAGGCTTCCACGTGGCGTGTACTGCAGACCAAGGAAGGACAGTCAGGTCGGTGTATGGCAAAATCAACAAGGGGGAAGAAAACCGATCAATCAATACAAACCCAGCTCCCCCTGTATGACACGCCTTCGACGGGTTGTAGAGGTGAACCCGATCAGTCCGCAATAGCGTTCTCCGCACATCCGTGTCGCAGTAAAGTTCGTCTTCGTCTGTGCCTGGAAAAGGGGGAAGGTCGCTATGGCGGATCGATGCAAGGTTCGAGCACGGACAATTACCTGTGCTCATGCTCAAATTAGCAAACCTCGACTCCATACAATTCTCAACCTGTTCAACCTCCGCCCGACACCCAATCACAATGCAAGCCAATTAAAGTGTGACGATTCCAGTCAAAATTTCCACCTTGGACACAAATGGCGACGGCCGGGAGGCAGGGAGATCGGGTGGTACGACTTAGTCACGCAACAACACGTGGCACATGTGCGCAGGGAGATGGGGGAGGGAAAAAGGCAAGCGGCGACCTCGCACGCGCACAGAGCACGGGGATCGAACAGTTAGTTGGGGCAAAGGGCATCAGCACGCTCATACATCAATGTGGACATACGAGACCCAATTAACCTATCACCTACCCCATGTGCGCAGACACATTGGCAACAAGGACAATCACTCAGTCCTCAACCAACCACATATCCATAGACTTTCTGAGAGTGAAGCATTCAGCATCCACAGACACTTGCAACCAAGGCCATGCACTCGACTGAGCACCCACACTTAGTCTTCAGCACACCTGAACACTTGGACAAAGCAGCGATGGAGAAGAATTGAGTCCCTGGCTATTCAAAAAGAGCATCAACAAAGCTGGCAATCAGTGTGCGCAGCCACCATACCCAACCGAGTGCGAGCCAGTATAGCCACAAGGCCCTGCCACTGGCCACACTCCCGTCTCCATCACCGGTCAGTCCCTCCGACTACCTTACCCCAAGTCTACCGCTAAGTCCACCCCACGCCATCACTTCGCCCATGCCTTGGGCACATCAAGCCTGTTCGACGCCGCAGCCTTCTAGCATAGCTTCCACAACATTGCTGCCAAAATCAGAGGAAGAAAGGAGGGTTCAAAGAGGAAGAAAGGAGAGATCAAAGAGGAAGAAAGGAGGGGGCTGCACAAATTTATATGTGTCAATGCGTTCTTAACGTCTTATCCGTCTTGCTCTTCGTACATAAGTCCTACTGCCTGCTGACAAATTCATGTCCTACCCCTGTATGTACAGCTAACTATTGCTGTGTCCCTCCCAAAGCACAGCACCACAACACAACCGCTCAGGGTTAGTACGCAGACACGTGCAATCACTCAGGACTTAGCAGAACCATGCACATCAAATACACACACACATGCAAGCCCAAAACACTCAGCAACAGAAACCGTTTTCCAGCAGGTGATACTCCCCACCAATAGATTGGGAATACAGCTAGGGGCGGATGCTCTTATCACCACTCCTAGCTGTAGTTGCTGGTGGCTGTTGAAGGGGGGAAAAAAAAAAAAAAAAAAAGGGCAATGACTTCTCAGAGAAAGACAGAGCTGTCAGCCTGCAAACTGCTCGTTGATCATTGCAATCAAATGTGGTTTGCGAAGTGCTAAGAAAAGAAAAACGAAAATGTACATCAAAGATTGAAACGTTACGCGGCCTACCAGTAGCTCAGTTGGTAGAGCACACAAGTGGCATTCAGCAGTTCTTGGGTTCGATTCCCCACGCCCTCCATTCAATTCCTCTTGGCCCCGGTGGCGCAGTTTGGGTTCACCAGCCGAGAGAGTTGGCTTGGTCCCCCCTGGCTGGTCTTGGTAGGGGCTTTGCCTTCGTCCCTTCCATCCTGTGGTAGGGGCTAGGCTGAACCCCGAGGGATAGGCTCAGCCCATGCTAGTAGGTTCACCCCTCCCCTAGTGAGCTTGGGTAGGTAGACTGAGGTATATTGCGAGAAGAATACAGCATAGTAAATTAAAAAAAAAAAAAAAAAAAAGGTTATAACTTATAAGAGAAAAAAAGAAGAAAAATTGATGAAGGCCAGAAAGTAGAAGTGAAAAAAAACAAATCCAGGAATTGAGCGCACACATAGTGAAGCCATCCTAACCGTTTGATGCTAGGAGCATATCGACTGATGTGATCATCCCATGGTCTCCCAAATACAGCATGTGTGTGCTCTCTACAAATGCTTGCAGTGTTACTCCTGCAGGTACACAAACGAGCGAAAGCAATTATCGCAAAACGCATGGGAGTAAGATGCCAGGAGTGGACAAAAAAAAAGAAGGAATACGGCAAAGAGAAAAGGTGACAAGCCCCCCCCCCCCCCCCCCCCCCCCCAAAAAAAAAAAAAAAAAAAAAAAAAAAGAAAAAAAAAAAAAAGGAAAACCCCCCCCCCCCCCCCCCCCCCAAAAAAAAAAAAAAGGCAGAAAAGAGCAGCCTTGGAGATTGTCCTGCAGGCAAGTCCCGTGCGAAAAGATGAGGAAAAGCTCCTCATCTGTAACCGAACCATTTCAAAGCTTTGGCTGTACATCTAGGCGGGGCCATCGCCCGGCCAGGCATATGCCCTGGCCAGCTGGGCCGGGGGGGATCGCCCGGCAAAACCAGGCAGGTTAAAGAAGAGGGAAGGATCACCAAAAAAAGAAAACTGACTTCAGGCCAGGACTGGGTTCGGCCTGAGCAGTCAGAATCCGGCCTTACCTTACATTACGGTGGTGGGCCACCCAGGGGTGTTTGGGGGGTATAAAGTTACTCTACACAGTGACTAGAGGGGTTTAAAAGGGTATATCTTACCTCATTTTCTCCTCATTTATTTTTATCTTAAAATTAATCAGTAATTTTGGAGGGGACCCTCAGCCAAAAGCTGCCTGTACTGGAATTTTACACAACATATTTTTCCCGAGATTTTTTTTGAATTTTTTATTTTTTTTATGTCATGCGCTGGGGCTGCCTGGGACCCTGCCTGGACCCTGTCCGGCCCGGGCCGCCCGCGAGGGTACCCGGGCGACCTTCCACCAGCCGGGCCGCCTGGGGACCAGCCTAGCTGTACATCCCTGTTTTTGTACTCTATACTCCCTGTCTGCCAAAACAGCTTGCTTTATAGCATACTTAATTTCAGCCCCCCTCACGATTGGGGGTGCGAACTGTTCTCTCCCCTTCTCACAGCTGAGATCCGAAGATTCCATACAGTCCACAAAATTGCAGTCCGAATGGTTTCTTCTGAGTGAACCAAATGGTCAGGGAACGGTCTTCTTCTAGATGCCACCCCCATAATCACAAACTGATCATCCCACCTATTTCCTGCGGCAGGCACCGGGACATTAGAATTTCTCCACCGTTCCCAAAAAGGTCTAGATATATCACAAATCAGTAAGAAGTGAATATCATCCATTCGTGTTCCCGAACAGAGTCTACATTCCATGGCAGCCTTCACCGTTCTTCGTGCACACCAAGTGGCGACAGGCAGCGCTTGATGCATTATCAACCAAAGCAAGCTCGGACGCCGGACCCATTTCCAGCATATGCTGCTGCCCGCCAATAGACTGGGGCTTTTCTTTCGCTTTTTTTTTTCCCCTTTTTTAAAGCATTCGCGAACAAGGTT